GCGAACTGAGAGGCAGCATTTCTGGTTCTGGGAAGTACAAATATTTACCCTCTCGGGGAGGAGATGAAGTTGGAGAGCTGAGCCAGGGGGTCTGAACTTAGATGTCATGCAAAGACGTTTGACGCTAATTCCGAAAGCTACCAAGAGCCAAAGAGATAGTGGAAATATGAGTAGTAGGATTGCATTAGCATCTTAGAAAGATCATTCTGCTAGTAGGGTGGATAGAATGGGGTTGAGTTGCAGATAGACAGGCTGGAGGCTGGGGACCAGTTAGTTAGGTGGCCTTGAGTACATTCAGGAGAGATTGATGATGAGTAGAGGAGTAGAAGTAGAAATAGGGGTGGAGGGGAGTGTCATAAAGAGATCCTAAAGATGGCAGAATCTTTAGGAGTTGATGACCAGTTGGAATGTTGAAGGTGTCGTGATTTTGACTTGACTCCCAAAGAGAAAGAGTGGTGCCTCTCAGTGAAGATGGGGAGGTACAGAGAGAGCAGGTGTCGGTTTTAGGAAGGCTGTATTTGGGGTGCTGATGAAACATCCAAGTGGAGAAGCCCAGTGGGAAACAGAAGCTTGAAGCATCTAGAGATGTGGATTTGACAGTTGATGGCATCAGGGTTGGAGTCATGGATTGGGATGAGGTCACCCAGGAAGGGCTGATCAAGTGAGAATAGCAGAGAGTGGAAGACGGAGCCTTTAGGAATTTTGGAATTTGGAGTATTAGCAGAAAAGGACAACCTCTGAAGTGAACAAGTGGCCAGGGCAGATCCTCCAGTGGAAGAAAAAGCAGAGATGGGGATGAAAATGGCAAGGGTGCCAGGATCCAAGGGTAAATACCGTTTATGGAAGGGGAGAGGCAACCGTGTTAAACACTGCAGAGAGGATCATCAGCTGCGGTGAAGTTGGGAAGTCTCCATTGATTCTGGCCACCTCGCTGTCACTGGAAATTAACAAGAGCAGTTTTAGCAGAATAGGGTAACTAGGAGGTAAATAACGGTGGGATGGGGGATGAATGGCAGATAAAGGAGAGAGCCGAAGCTGGGAATTAAGGCAGTGGGGCAAGGGAGTTTCTGGATGAAAATAGAAAAGACTTGGGTCCCTTCTTTGAGTGGAAGAAGTCAGTGAAGGGAGAGTGAAGCTAGAGGAGAGAGAATAATGGATGAAGCAGGGCATTTGGAGGGGAGGAGGATGAAGAATCTACAGCACAGATGAGGGGGTTACCTCTGACCTCCTGAGCCTGTTTCCTTCAAGGCTGAGTTCAGAGGTTGATAGATTTGTAGGTGGTGAGGGGGGCCAGGGAAGTGCTTCTCACATTTCCACGTGGTGTGCAGAAACCACTTGCAGAACTTGGTCAGGATCTCTGAGCCAGTGGGTCTGGGTGGGCCGAAAGTGTGAGTTGCTTTTAACTTTTTATTTTGTATTGCTATATAGCCGATTAACAATATTGTGACGGTTTCAGGTGGACGGCAAAGGGATTCAGCTATACATATACACATATCGGTTCTCCCCCAAACATCCCTCCCATCCAGCCTGCCCCGTAAGGTTGAACAGACTTCACTGTGTTCTACAGTAGGTGTTTGAAAATGTGCATTTCTAGCAGGCTGCTGGGGAATGTTGCTGCTGTTACAGGCCTGTGACTACGCTTGGAAATTCCTGCTGGTGGCCTTGATTCCCTCTGTGGGGTAGGAGGGACCTGCAAGAGGGAGGTTGCCTGGAGGGAAGGGGAGAAAATGGGAAGAAGGGATGGGGCAGGGATGGGGGAATTGAGAGTTCTGACCTGCCTTGAAAAGAAGGGTGCAGGGCAGCTCCCAGGTCCCGGGGGGACTGGAGACCTTGGATGTGTCTTGTCACCACTACCGTGGGCCTTCTTCCTCCACTCCTGTGTGTGCAAAGGGGAGGAAAGTCAGATGGACAACTGGTTCCCAGCTGGGGTTCTTCAGGGCTGGTGAGAAAGCGAGCCAGGGAAGTGAGCGGAGGATGAAGGCAGGGGTGAAGGGAAGTGCGGAGATTTTAGCTGAGCGAGAGCGTGAGCAGAGCGGGTACACTGCGTGACAACAGAGTGGCCCAGGACTGGGAGGTCTTATCGAGGTCAAAGAGTGGGTGTTTGGGGGACACACAGTGGGGAGAACCGGAAGGCAAGGAGGTTGTGGCTGTTGGAGGTGGAGACAGTCTTGGTGCAGCGGCTCTGGATGGTGAGAGGCCATGGGAGTTTTGAGATAATTCCACTGCCCAACTTGGGGGGGGGGGTGGTCCTTCTGGTCATCTCTCATCGTGTGTCAGAGGCTCCCTTCTGTCCTGAGGTGGTGTCTGAGGCTGTGACAGGAAGGAGAGATTGGAAAGACAGGGTTCCAATGAGACCTGACACCTCAATTTGGTGCAGATTTGTTTTCCAAACCACCACAGGGCAGTGTATCAGTGAGGGTCCGCCAGAGAAATAGAGCTAATAAGATATCTGTCTGTCTACCTATCTACCTAGCTGTCTGTCTTTCCATCCATCCATCCATCCATCCATCCATCCATCCATCCATCCAGAAGCTCTCTAGTCCAGGAAGGCTGGTCTTCCCATTGGTGGGTACATTGCATTTTCCCAGGGCTCTCAAAGACTGAGCTCACTTGATCCCTAGAAGGACCTTAGCCAGGCACCCAGAGCTAACTACGGTGAGGATGATGTGGACAGTTTCAGAGATGAAGAAGGCATGAGCTGTGTGCCCAAGGTGGCAGGTTCAGCGTGTGGCAGAGAGCTTTTTTACTTCTGCGATGCCCCCACAATTTACTGAATGGCCACCTTGACCATGAAGAGGCAAGATCGGAGTCCCCATTCCCCAGAGGGTCCCAGGAGTCCTGCTCAGCAGAGGGAATTGCCTGCTCCAGCTGAGAGGCTTAACCCACAACTCAGCCTCAGTGGCAGCCTGATCCCATTGCCTGTAGCCGGAGAAGATGCTGCTGCTGGTACAATGCCATCTGGCCTCTTTGCTTCTTCATTTCCAGGGCCAGAATCTGATAAAGACAAAAGCCCAAAGAAACCTGGCCTGGGAGTGCATGCTCAGTAGGTGGGTGTGTACGGTGGGGGTGCTTGCGTGTATGGTGAGGAACGGCCTGGGAGGGAGCAGCGCCAGCCTGCCAGCTCAGGATGGCTGCCGGCCACATCGAGGGGGCTCCGAGGGACCTTCTGGGATGCGCCCCCTCCCTCGGATCAACACAGTAAATGAGATGATTCCCTCCAACAGCCCGCGAGCCTGTCAATAACCACTCTAATCTCCTCTGCAGCCCCCAGAAGTGAATTTACAGCGTCATGGTAAAAATGAGGCTGCATGATCAATGGATCCCCGGACAGTCTCCTCCAGGAGACACAAATGTGCATTGTAACAAAACTTTATTTTCTTCCGAAAATTGCCTACATGATTAATATGGCCCGACACAGCCCAAGCTGTTGAGCATAAAAAACAGCTGTATTTCCTGCTCCCTCTTCAGCGCTGCTTCCCTCTCACTCCATGCCTTCATCTTGTCCTCTTTGTTTTGCTCTGGAACACATTGTCTCATACATTGTACAGTCTCACACATGGAGGAAGAAGATGCTTTTGAAATGCACTAGCTCTGTCTTCCATTCTGCTCTGTTTCCACTTGGTGTTTCAAAGTGGCTCAAACTACACATAAAACCCAATCCCCCAGTGCTCCAGGGAGAGAGCACTGATGCTTCCATCACTGAGCCATGCAGAGCCAGATCCCAGGGTACCAGTGTCATCTCTTACATCATCAGGTGCCTCCGGGGAGGCCCAAGCTCTACACCCCAGAGTCCAGCCTGGATGAAAACATTCTTCTCTTGAACCTCAGGGCTTCCCAGATGGTGCTAATTGTAAAGAAATTGTCTGCCAATGCGGGAGACATACGAGTTGCGGGTTCACTCCCTGGGTCAGGAAGATCCCCTGGAGTGGGCATGGCAACCCACTCCAGTATTCTTGCCTGCAGAATCCCATGGACAGAGGAGCCTGGCAGGCTACAGTCCAGAGGGTCGCAAAAGAGTTGGACACGAGTGAAGTGACTTAGCGCACACCTGAACTCCTGTCTTCAGAGACGGAGAAGTTGCTGGATGTTAGGTCCCGTTTCCGGCCCCCAGGCAGATTCTAGGAATGCTTGCAAGAAGAGTTAGGGTGTGTCAAGCAGCACAGTCATAGTGGATAGAGGACCCTCGTCCTTGATTTTGATTAATTTCATGTGTGTTTCATGTCTCTTCCCAGTGTGTAAGCTCCGTGAGAGCAGAGGTCTCCTGTATAGAGCTGGGTCCTTAGTAGGTCAGAGAGATGTCTTAGTTTGGGTTCTCCCACAAACCGACTCTGAAACAAAGACTTGAGAGCATCAGTTTATTTGGGGAGTGAAAAGAGCACCACTAAAGGGAAGTGGAACTCAGAAGGGAAGGCATCCCCCAAAGTGGGTGTTATATGTAAATTGTGGGTGATGGAGATTAATCCTGCAGGGGGAAAAACTCAAGGGGCCCATGCAAAACCCACCCCTCAGAGTCAACCAGCTCAAGGGCTGAGGCAGCTGGGGATATTTATACATCATTTCCCAGCCACCTCTGGATGAGAACTGATGGTGGTGTGAGTGTGCGTCAGTCAGTCATGTCCAACTCATTGCAACTCCATGGACTGTAGCCCGCCAGGCTCCTCTGTCCATAGGATTCTCCAGGCAAGAATACTCAGAATAGGTGTTTGTGTGTGTGCTGAAATGAGACCGGGTGGTACATGTGAGTATGGCCTCCAGGATACAGTCTATGTGTGCCCAAGCCTCATGCTTCCTTTGGGGTGGTAAATTTGGGAGAAGTGAAGCTGGTTTTCTTAACTGTCTCCTCCTTAGGTTTTTTTTTCTCAGTTCTTAGCCAAGAGAGGCCCAGAGGGGACCAGCGATTCTCGGCCTGGGAGAACGCTGACATCCTTACCGTGTGCAGCCGCAGTGCCTCTGCCTTCCTCCTTCCACTGACTCTGCTCTTCCCTGCTGTCTTCCTCCAGGTGTAAGGAGCTGAAGTACTCCAAGGAGCTGCCCCAGATATCCATCATATTTATCTTCGTGAACGAGGCCCTGTCGGTGATCCTGCGCTCAGTTCACAGCGCAGTCAACCACACGCCGACCCACCTGCTGAAGGAAATCATCCTCGTGGATGACAACAGTGACGAAGGTATGGGGGCCGCCAGCCTGCAGGCCAGTTTCTGAGAAGATGCAAGCACCCAGTGCATAATGTCAGCGGGGGGATGTGCCCTTTATTTCATTCCATCCTGAGCCCAAGTGTCTTTGTCTCCTGTCTCTGGGGCATAGCTGGGGAATGGGGGCTGTTTGGGGGGAAGTGATTCAAGCAAACGCTAGTTTATTACTCGAGTCCTCTAGGGCAGGGGTCTCCCAATCCCCCCCAGTCTGCACAGCAGGAGATGAGTGGCAGGCCAGCACGTGAGCAAAGGTACATCTGTATTTACAGCCACTCCCCATCACGCACATTACTGCGTGAGTTCCACCTCCTGTCAGATCAGCGGCGGCATTAGATTCTCATAGTAGTGCCAACCCTACTGTGAATTGCACATGCGTGGGATATAGGTTGCATGCCCCTTATGAGAATCATCTGGAAACCATCCCCATCTCCTCCATGGAAAAATTGTCTTCTACAAAGTCCATCCTTGCTGCCAAAATGGGCTCTTAAGAATAAGTAACTGGTTATGTGTCTAGACTAATTCCCCTCTTCATATTACCTAAAGTAGATGACATGGAAGAGCTGAATCCCTCTGCAGTCCCCGACCCCATCTCCCTTGTCCTTTTCTGAGAAGCAGAAGAAAAAGGAAAGTTCTGTCCTGTGATGGGAACTGTTTGTCATATGTCAGAATTTCCTTCTGTGCCACTGTGCCCAAAATGACTGTCAGTAGAAGTGCACCGTGTTTGGCAGATCTTTTGGCATTCAGTTTTGCTAGGAATGATGGCTCAATTAAAAAATATAAAACAAGCAAATATTGGATGGCAATAACAAAATGCCTTTGAAGTCCTTGGAGATGGAGATCTAGTGTCAAGGTGGTTTAGAGGGCTTGCTTTGGCTAACTGTGCCTTTGTTTTGCCTCTCGGCCTACAAAACTCACTGCAGGGAGAAACCCACACAAGCTGAGGACCTCGAAGAAAGGCAGCCAGTGTGCGTGCTTAAAGCCAGTGAGGTTTATCTTCTGAGAAACTAAAGGATTAGGGGCCAACTGAACTCCTTGCTTTTGGTGTGATCAGTAGAGGATTACCCTGTGCTCCTGGGTCAGGAGAGGGTGAGGTAAAGGCAGGATGGTGTCACGGACCCTGTTGGAAACCTGATTATCTTCAGGAGTGCTGAGGAGTCTATCACATTTCATCAGCCCAGGAATTGAAGTCCCCCTGCCCCTTCTGAACCTGCTGACTGTTACCAGGGAAGGGTTTGAGTAGATCTGGACCCAGTAATGCACCCTCAGGGCATCACCATCTTCTGGGCCTCCAGAATTTGAGGACTAATGAGTCATTTGCTGGATTTTTCATATCCTTATTTTTCTCCCTTTTTCTCTGGCCATTTCATGATCTATTTTCTTCTAAAACTGACCTTGAGAGTCTTCTTTGGGAGAAGGCGGTTCTTTCAGTTCCCTGAAGCCTCATAAGTCGTGGCTCCAGTGGCTTTCTCTGCAGCCTCTCAGCTTGCACCTGCAGACCTCTGGCTTCAGACGTAATTCCAAACTCTCTGCAAGGAATCCTGGCTCATCCTTCCACTCCATTTGCTGGCTAAGTCCCACTTATTCCCCAGGTGTCCCCTATCTGTCACTTCATGGGAGATTCCTTTGTTGACATCCTGAGACACTTGCTCTGTGCCGCCTCAGCTCCCTGAACCCTCCTGTAGCAGACAGCACGTGAGGTCACTGTGTCCTGCACAGCTGGACTCCTTATGCTGGGCAAGATCTGGTCTCACAGGGCCTGGCTGGTAGCCAACCCTCTGTGAGTCTGACCCTGTTACTGAGCAAAAGTTCGTGTGCCCAACACACAGTGAGGTCAAACCAGCAGAAACACTGGTTTGGAGCAGACAGGGCTATGCAAGGAGACAGGTGGCTCATGCTTAAAAAGCCCAAACTCCTGGTAACATTTCAGCAAAGCACTTTTAAAGGTGGGGGAGGGAGGCACCAGGTTAGTTGTCACAAACTTCTTGGTGTTGGAATCCTTTGTTCTTGCAACTGTCCACTAGGCCAGGTCAGGATGTTCCAGTAAACCTCCAACAAGACTAATGTTATTCTCTGTTCTACAACTTTTATCTCTGGTTGAGTGGGAAAATGTTATACCCTTAAAGGTTAGAGCCTTGAAAATAGGCTGTCTTGTATGTTTCAGGCTATAGGCAACATTCTTTTACAAAAGGTGCAGAGCCAGCATGGCTAAGCATGACAGGCAACAGAGCACAAAGGTTAAAGTAAAAGGAACAGATCTAACATGGAGTCAGATTTGTTCTTCCATTTGCAACTCAGCTGGGCAGTCAGCAATGAAGCTGAATAGGGCTGGGAAAGGGGTGTTAGGGGCTAGCAGTGAAGTGACCAGAGGTGGTGCAGAGAAGAGATGGAAGACCCAGAGAAGAAAGCAGACAGTAGGTGCTAGACTGAATTGGGGTGAGGACACACTACCAGTGGGGCTCCTTCCCCAAGGGGAGATCTCAGCAGACTCAGCCTGCGAGGAAGACGTGGAAGGACAAGCTAGTGTCAACCAGAACATGAGCTCTGAAAGAACAGGGGTCTCCGATAGATGTCTTAGTGTGGGTTCCCCCAGAACAGCCCCTGAAACTAAGATTTGAGTGCAGTAGTTTCTTTGGGATGTAAAGTGCATCATCTGAGGAGTAGGGAAGTAAGGCAAAGAAGGGAAGGCAAAGCCAGAGTAACGCCCACCCCTCAAGAGTCCATCTACTCAAGGGCAAGGGAGCTGGGGTATTGATACACTTTTAGCATCAAATGCTTTCACATCAGCGCCTTCTGGAACCCTGACTTGGAAGAAGTTCTGCATCATGAGGTCTGGGGTGGGTCTAAGAATTTACATTTTTCGCAAGCTTCCTGGTGTGCTACTGGTATAGGGACCACACTTTGAAACCCACTGGATTAAGTACCATTTCAGTGGTTCATACTTCAGGTCTAAATGAAGATCTTTAGTGGGTGAGAAAAAGTGGGGAAGAGGTGTTTGTTTCAGTCTGAGCCTAAAGTTAATTCTCATTCATCCTCCCCTGTCCCCTGAGATACCCAGGCAACCCAGAATGGACTACATTAATAGAGTTTCCCTCTTTTCCGTCCCAGGTCTAGCATCTATATTTTTCTCCAGGCTAAACGTGTCTTCTCTTTATCTGGAAGAGGAATTTAACTTTTTTTTTCTTTGTGGCTAATATTAACAGATTTTGTAAATGTTCTATACACACTTGAAAAGACCCCCCCACACACTGTAATCATGAAATTGAATTCCTGCCAGACATCAATTTTGTGTATTTAGCTAGACTATGAGTTTATTTTCTTAAGTCTTTTTGATAATGGTGTTTTAAAATCTCCTCCTACAATATCTACTCCTTCCTGTGTTCTTAATAACGTTTGATTTCTGTATCTTGTTGTCAGTTTCTTTGGCAACTATAGATTTGTATCTGCATGGCTTCACTCTTAGCAGTGGTTGTTACCATTATGTAATGCTCCCTTTATCTTAAAAACATGCTTTTTTTTCCCTGTGCATGAATATAGTTTGTCTACCATTAATATTGTTATCCTTGCTTACCTTCTGTTTGAATTTGATTAAAACACTTTTTCAAGCCTTACCAATTTTTTTCTGTGATCTTAAAAGTAATGCATGCTCTTTGTAGGGACATTTGAATCTATCAAAAAGTGCATATAATTGGACAAAAACAAATACCAAAGAGACTAACTAGAAGCAACTGCTCATTTACCCATGTTCTCACCTCTTTTTTTTTATGCATGTTTTACATTAGGTTCCTATAATGAAAACAAGTTAATCTTTTTCTTGTTTTCCTTCTGTGAACTGTGAAGCAGAAATATCCCTTTTTATTAAAAAAAAAATTCTGCAACCATCATTTTAATGAGGGTAGAATGGTTCTTTCTCAGGCTGGTAAAGACCAGCTCAGGTGGGAACTGTAGCCCTTCACTTCCATGTTATCACATACATTCAAAGAAAAAAAAAAATAGGCTTTTAAAGGAATAAAAAAAAAAAAAAGACTGGCTCAGGGAAAAGGGAGAATAGTCAGGTGACTCTGGATCTGTGTACACAGGTAAATCAGGGACTTTCCTAATTAGTTTTCTTTCTAAGTCATTTTCATTCACCTTGAATATTGACATTGGCCTACATTAAGCCCAAGGAAGGGGCAATTCTTTGTATCCTTGTGAGTTATACTGAAATCACTCATATGTGGCCACATCTGACCTTGCTAGCAGCTTCCTTCTTGGCATCTTTCTCATCTGGAGGCCCTGGCACTACTGTCTTCTGATTGTTCTCCAGTCTTCCTCTTTCTGCTTCAGTTGGGATCAGTCATGGCTCTCCAGCTTTCCGGGTAGCTCAGCTGATAAAAAAAATCCTCCTGCAATGCAGCAGACCTGGATTTGATCCCTGGGCTGGGGAGATCACCTGGAGGAAGGCATGGCAACCCACTCCGGTATTCTTGCCTGGAGAATCCCCGTGGACTGAGGAACCAGGAACCTGGTGGGCTACAGTCCATGGGGTCACAAAGAGTCAGACACGACTGACCAACTGAACAGCAACAAAGGCTTACAAAACCTTCTTCTGGGGAAGGCATCTCAGTCATCAGTGACCCCAGAGAAGCACAGGGCTTACCCTGGTGGGGCACCTGGTGGGGCTATTGTGTGAACCAGACAGTGGGTATAAGGCAGAAAGCTGGACAGATGGAATGGACTGACCTGTGTTTTCTGCTTCTGACCTCATCAAGGTGTAGTGCCTACCTTCAGGGGGAAGTAGAAGGATGAAATCAATGTCTTCAGCTGATCCAGACAGCAGGTGTGGAGTACCAGCACACACTTAGCCTCTGGTCAGAACATCTAGTTATGGGGAAGAATGGGGACCAGACTCATTTGAATGATCTACCTGCAGCTTTAAGTGTGGTCAGGTTGCAGGGGAGATAGTAATAATAGCCCTCAACACATCTGCGTCCAGTCA